GGGCGGATGCACATAAAATGTTTGGATACTTAATTAAATTTGATTAGATTTATAGGATAACTATAATTAATTTTTTGAAAAAGTTGATTGAGTCATATTTGAGATAAATTTTAGGTGTGTTTTTTAAAATAATATTTAACATATAATAATTAAAGTTAATTTGATGTAAAGTATGAGGAAAATTGATTGAAAAAAATGAATAATTATGTGAAAGAACAAATAATAACTTCAAGTTAAAGTTAATGTGATGTATGAAGATAATTAATTAGTATTATTTAAATATACTAATAATATTTAAGAATGTTAGATTGAGTTAAATTTGTAAGTTATAACCCATCTACACCTTCATGACCGTGTTATCTTATTATTTTACTGTCGCCTAGTGTGAGGGAGTGGAGGGGAAATTTATATATAAAAAACAAAAAAAACACAAGTGGACACAAATAAAAGCAAAAATTAAAATCTGGACCAAAATCAAAAACTAGTATTCTGAGAATACGTTTTCTTTACAAATTGTCATTGAAAAACGTATTCTACGTATTCTGAGAATACGTTTTTCACTTCATTTTTTCTTATTTTTTTTAAGTAAAAAAACCAGGGAGTGGAAGGAGCCGGTAATATCACCAACAAGGCGAGGGTAAACTCGAGATTAACGCTCACCACACGCATTATGGGAGCAATTTACTGTTTTTTTTTTTAAATAAAAAAGGAAAAATCAACAATAAAGAAGGGTGTTGTTATTTGTCGCCCCAAATTACTACTTGTCGCCCGAAAAAAATATTAAAAAATTATAAATTTACAAAAATATCCCTGTGGTAAAAAAATGTTAATGGAAAAAATGTATTCAAACGTCTAACAACAAAGCTCGGAAGTCAAAGAAACGTCTAGAAGCTAAGCTTGGCAGCCAAAGAAACGTCTAACAAAGAAGCCCGACTATGAAAACAAACGTCCAAGAGCAAAGCTTGGAAGCAAATGAAACGTCCAAATGCGAAGCCCGACTCTGAAGAGAAACGTCTAAATGAGAAGGGGCAACACATTTAAAACTTTTAAATTGCAAGCTTATTCTGCTGCTAAACGTCTAACTGGAAAGCTTGAGGCCATGTGAAACATCCAAGAGTTAAGCTTTAAAGCATACCAAACGTCCTTTATCAAAGCTTGCCTATGAAAGCAAACGTCCAGAAGTTAAGCTTGGAAACCAGGCAAATGTCCAACATGGAAGCTCCACTGTGAAAACAAACGTCCAGGAGCTAAGCTTGGAACTCAAGTAAACATCTAATTGAAAAACTCGAGGCCACGCAAAATGTCCAAGAGTTAAGCATTAAAGCATACCAAATGTTCTTGTAGATGCATAAAAATTGTGGCCAATCAAATGGCGCCACGTGGAAATTAATTTATTAAAAATCAAGCCATATTTTCTATTTATGTTTTAGGAATTTCCATAAATTTAATTTTTAAATTTAATAGTTAATTAATTGATATTTTATTATTTTAATTCTTGACCAATCAATTATTGTCAAGTGTCAAATCATATTTCTTGGTAATAAATCACATGTCTTCTAGAAGATCTTGGGGAGATCTAGGTAGATCTAAAAGATCTTATGTTAATCATTATGGACCAATCCAATCGCGTCCTACGACTCTTAAATTTGGTAGGGTTCTCCCTCCTACACCTATAAATAGGGGCTCTCCTTAATGTAACTAAAAACACTTCATAATTCATATTCAAGTTCAAGAGCTCTAGAGAATTCTCTCGACAAGATTCAAGTGTTCTTGAAGATTCAAAGGTGTTTTTGAAGATTCGAAGTAAGATTCAAGCGCGTTCAACCTCAAGACTGGCGTTCAATCCAGAAACAAGCTGAAAGCCTCCGAATAACGTTGGTAAACTCAAAACCGGCGTGGAGAAGATCCAAGGTCTACTTTGCGACGAAGACCAAGGATTCGTGTTCTTCGTGTTCTTGGGATATTTCGACGGCTTTTTCATTGCTAAAGCTCATAGAATCTTTCCGCAAGTACTCAAATCTCTAAATACCGAACAAGCGAAGCGAAGCGTTTGATCCGAAATCAAGGCATTGGCCCTCCGAATAATAGAGATTGTAATTTGCCATATTTATTTTGATTCGAGAAATTTATTTGAATAATATTTTTCGTGTTTATAAATATAATTCCATGTGTAGATTCTGCATGTTTCGAATTGGTATAAATTGGAGTTGTGTAGCTTGAGTTGTTGCCATTTTACTAAAGTGCTACCCATTCGAAAAGTAGTTCTCCGGACTGTTTTGTGAACTAAATGTTTATTACTTAACCTCATTGATAATGTCATATTTTTCCAATGGTGTCTTCAGAAAAGTTGTAGGAAATTGAGTTAGCTAACTTAGGGTTTTTGAATTTAAGTAATATCATGTTTGTAGCTCTTGTTATCTTGGAATTACTGAAGTGCTGTAAGTTGTTCTTTTCCTTTCCGGACTGCAGCTATGTTTTGTGTTGTTGTTGATTTATCTTTGTGGCGATGTCAGAATTTGCTAAAGTTGTCTTCACAAAAATTGTATCTTTATTTCTTACCTTTCTATGAGTACCAGATTCATATTTTTATCATGACTGTAGCTCGGGTTATCCTCAAATACTGCCATCCTGTTTGAATGTTTTTTACTGCACCCTTATGTGAATGTTTGTTGATTTATCATGTGGATAATAACCTCGTCTGATTCTAAGTTGTTCTTGAGAGTTGTAGATCTATGTCTTAGGAATCACATGCCACTGGTTTCCTGTTATTTCGACTTATGTGTTGCTAGTTGTGATCATTTATAAATTGCTGCGCATATCATGTTTTACAAAATCACTTGTTGATTTTCGAAAATGGCACGCACTATCGAAATGCACGATTATATGACCTAAGTGATTTATTTCTTGATCCATGTAGTATGTTTGATCCTTAGATGTCCTTAGAGTTAAAAGTTAAGCAAGCCAAGATATCCACCAACCGAAAAGACTTAAGCATAAAATATTTTCAAAGTATATATATATATATATATATAGCGAGTAGCAGTAAAGCCTTGATAAGATTCTAAGACAAGTCCCAACGAATGTAGGTAATTGAGGAGTCCAGCCTCGACCTAAATGGCCTCATTTTTTAGTCCAATATAAATGGCCTCTAAAAAATATGCACCTCTACTTTGATTGGCTAAAAATGAGGCCATTTCTATTGGACTAATAGTCTAAGTGAGATCAATTCACAACTATGAAAATTATTTGTAATCTAATAAAAAATTACGATTCTATTAAAATATGATTCTATTAAAAAAATATTTTGTCATTAATAAATATGATAACGATTTTATTATTAAAATTATATTAAAAATCAGTGTATATCATAAAATAACAATTCTATATCCTTTTAAAGATTTGTTGCATGGCTTGATGTTAGGTTGATTATTGTAAGATATGTGGGAAAGTAGTTTGGGTGATATGTGGAAAAAATCAAATTATTGAGGAAGCTTTCACGTTGGACGTTTCTGGGTACATAAAACTTTCCTTAAAGAAGTTTGTTGTTGTCCTAAGCTTTCTTCTGGGACGTTTGTTTGGATTCAAAGCATAACTATAAGACGTTCCTTAAAGACTTAAGCTTCCTTCTGGAACGTTTATTTGACTTCCAAGCATAGGTCCAGGACGTTTGTTTTCACAATAGAGCTTCCATGTTGGACGTTTGATTAGATACTAAGCATAGCTTCTGGACGTTTGCTTTCATAGGCAATTTTCAATAGAGAACGTTTGGTATGCTTTAAAGCTTAACTCTTGGATGTTTCACGTGGCCTCAAGCTTCCCAGATAGATGTTTACTTGACTTCCAAGCTTAGCTCCTGGACGTTTATTTTCACAGTGGAGCTTCCATGTTAGACGTTTGCTTTTATAGGCAAGCATTAATAAGGGACGTTTGGTGTGCTTTAAAGCTTTTCTCTTGGACGTTTCTCGTGGCCCCAAGCTTTCCAGTTGGACGTTTAGCGGCAGAAGAAGCTTGCAATTTAAAAGTTTTAAATTTGTTGCCCCTTCCCATTTAGACGTTTCTCTTCAGAGTCGGACTTCGCATTTGGACGTTTCCTTTGCTTCTAAGTTTAGCTCTTGGACGTTTGTTTTCACAGTCGGGCTTCCATGTTGGACGTTTCTTTGACATTCAAGTTTAGATTCTGGACGTTTATCTTTAGAGTCGGGCTTCACATTTAGACGTTTTCTTTGCTGACCGAGCTTAGTTGATAGACGTTTGAATGCCTTTTTCTAGTAACTTTTTTTTACCACATGAATATTTTTGTAAATTTATCATTTTTTATTATTTTTTTCGGGCGACAAGTAGTAATTTTAGGCGACAAATAGCAATCCCGATAAAGAATGCAGTAGAGTATTTTAATTAATTAATTGTTTGTGGGGATTGAGGAAAGAAAGTCCATGTAAGTAGGTACAGTTGAGGACAGCTTTGTAGAGACACTCTTCCCTCTCCCCCTCTCTAACATATTTTATTATCAGTTGTCTCATTCTTGAGTATTTAATTTGTTTCATCAAAATATCTTTGTTATTTTCTTCCCTCGTCACGCCAATTTACAGAGAAGAACCTGATACACACACACCATTTCATGTATGACAGTATGAGACTAGGTGGCAATTACTGTACTCATTCTCTCTCTCTTATCCCTCCCTACCAGTTCTACTACACGCGCTTTAGTTGTTGTAATGCAATGGATATATTCTTCTGTTGTAATTACAGCTGGCACTAGGGTTTCGTACTACTAATATAAATTAAACCGACAAGTACATCTGCTGCTCTATCTATCCTCCTCCTCACTTTAGATCGATTCTTCTTCTACATGCTGTCTGTGCGAGAGTGAAGTTCATAAATTCCAATCATTGTTTATAAATTCAAGATCCAACGCTTATTTTGGATCTTGAAACTCTAAATTCCCAAATCCCCTGCGATGGTGCTTCTCCTTCCCTCTCCTGCTGGAGGTCTTGTTGCTTCACTACCAGTTCAACCTATTTCTGTTCATGTTGTTTCATCTTCTAAATGTGTACGTTCTCGTGGTGGCTTCTTACCTTTTAATTCGTCATCTAAATCTAAATTTGTTCAACCAGTAGTGAGTTCTCATTGCAAACATGCTCTTGCTTCCCATGTTGTTGCTGATCTTGACCTTGGGTTTGAGTTTATTGATTCTGATGAAGATGAGCACATTGAGCACGTAATAGGCTTTTTGCCTGTGTATGAAAAAGTACAAAAGCTTGCTAACCCCCATTGGAAACTTCAACATCAGATTAAACATCCCTATTTCACTCGCTCTGTGAGGCGTATCCCCTCAACAAGACGAGCAAATTTTTTTTATGTTCCAATTCGAAAGGATTTCAAAGCATTCGAATACAAATTAGCGGGGTGTGGCGTTGATTTTAATTTTTTGTCTGATTTCTGGCCCGATACTGAGGAAATAGGGTACGAGTACTACTATGTGCAGTTCAAGAAGTACGGCAGTGAGTTGACTACTAGTGCTTGTAACTATTATTTCTCGGTTTCATTGATGCATGATATCGTCACGCGGTTGCTAATTGCTCATGTCCCGTTTCGGACCTCCATGACTTTGCGAGAATTCGAGGAGTTAATGCCGTTTGATGCTGTGATAGACATTTTCGAGGTTCCATATTCCAATGATATGCAAATCCGAGAGATTGGAGCACTTTGGACTTCGGCCGGTCAACTAATCGACACCGGAACAATTACATACAAAGGAGATTCTCTGAAGCCCTATTGTTACTCCCAAAAGGGATACAAGGAAGGCGTTCGAGTTATTTTGGATTTTTAAAGACTCAGATCTTTTTTTTTGTTTTGTTGATTGTGTATGAAGTAGTAAGTGTGTGTTTGTGTGTGTGTGTGTGTTTGTGTGTGTATGGATTGATCAAGTTCTTGAGCTTTATTTGTGTATGTATTATGTGAAGTTAATCTGATGGCAACTTATTTGTCCGTTGGCTAATTAAGAGTTTTGTGCTTGATGAATTATGCTTTTGAAGTGAAATTAGTTAATTTGACTAACTTATCATACTATGGTTTGCTATTTGTGCCTTTTGATTTGGTATGGCTTTGAAAATGGGTGACCTTATAACCATAATGCATGGATTTGTTTGAAAATGAATAGACTACACAAATTGATGGAGGGTGGGAAATGCTGTATTTTTTTTGGCGTTTTAGTAGAGATTGGGGTTTTGACTGATGTTTTGTGGTTTGATTTTCAGACTTGCTTCATTGAACTTACTGGCTAAAGAAGATCAACGTACATTTTGGCTGTTTAGGAAGGAAAAGGGAAAGAAAAAAGGAACTTTCTGAGTAGAGTGATTTAATGAAGTTTCTTTGGTAAATAACAGATTATATTCAACGTAGAAACATATTAAGATGAGAAATGACAAGATTGTGCAGTTTTGTATTTTGACAAAATTTTGCTTCCCACACTCTTGGTGGGTGATTGGATATAAATTATTTTAGATTTGATTGGACTTGTTAGATAATCAGAGTTAATCTTGAAAAAATCGATTGAGTTAGATTTGAGTTTGTATTAAAATAATATTTAAAATATAATAATTAAAATTGATTTGATGTATGTTGTGATCTTGATATTTTGATTTTAGTTTGTGTAATTTAATAAGGATTGCTGTAAATAAATATCTAAGAGATATGAGGAAGATGAAGATAGATTGATGAGAGAGAAAGTGGGAGAGAGATTTAGAGAGAGAAAGGTGGAGGAATATTTGAGCTCACAAAACGTGAGTTTGTTACTTCTCATTTCCCAAACTTATAAACGTACTCGTGGGTCCCATACAATAACAAACAAGAGCATCTTTTTAATTCTTCAACATAAAAAGATGAATAACATATTCATCATAAAAGATAACAAAAAACAAATAAATCTAAAATAGTTGAATGCTTGTACGGCCTGGATCAACTGCCCTTCAACACCCCTGATTTGCACACGTGTCACTCTCACAACTGGGTTTGGACAAACTCTTCATTTTCCCGACCACACTCTCACTTTGCCCAAATTTCACTAAATCGCCATTTTCAGTATACTTCACCATCTCGCGGCCCATTTCTTCATCGTCTTCCACATAATTCACAACAATGTAAAAGTATGAAAGATGTAATTGAAACCGATGAATAATAAGAAATATGTGAGTGAATAAATAGTAAATTAAACTTAATGTACTACGTGAATTGATTAGTATTATTTAAATATTAATAATATTTAAATATGTTAAATTAAGTTAAATTTGAATTAAAAAATTATATGACAAAGATAATTAATAACCTATGTTCTAAAAATCGGCCTAGGCGGCCGCTAGGCGGTGCCCGACCGCCTCTGATTTGCACAAATTGTCATGGACACAAGCTCGAAGAACAAAAAGAAAGAAGAAAAAAGAGGACTTTCTGATAAAAATGGTTTCTTGCAGAATGGCGAGGAGAAGAGGATTTGGGTTTCCGGTGAGATTGCGGAGGATACTGACAAAAGGAAGATGAAGGGTTGACTAAAGGATAAGGGGTTTAGTTATGTTGGGCCGGTTTATTTTATTATTATGTTATTAAGAAATTAGCTCACTAGTATTATTGGGCTATTTATGTATTTACTTGGCCCAGTTATCCATTTGTGGGACCAAGCTAGTAGTATAAGTGTGTAACAAACCGTATGGAAAGGCAAGCAACAAATATTCAGTTACTCTCTCCCTCATTGTCTTCTCTCTCTCTCTCAATTCCTATCTACATCTTTCTCTGCTAAGTTCACCATCTTCATCTTAATTCTAATAAGAAAAATAACAAAAATACAATTAGATCTAAAAATTGGTTACACCCAGGTTGTAACAATTGGTATCCAGAGCTGCGATCTTGGCCATGGCTGAAGCTACTCGTTTCAAGGACCTGCAAGAGGCACAAAGGAAGATCGATCAAACCTTACAAACGGAGGCCCTAAAACGAGAAGCTACTGAAATGAAACTCCAAGAGCAGATCTCAAATTTGGGCACAGAAATGAATGGCAAGTATGACAATCTCACAAACACCTTAGCTGCAATTCAGTTACAGCTCAACAACATGGACAAAAGCAAGGGTTCAGGTAGTGAATCTCTGTTTGGTCCTTACCCTGGCTCTAAATCAGAGGGGTCACACCAACAGCAATTCACACCTAAAAACAGAATACAGTGGGAGCAGCAACAATCAAGCCCTCACACCCTCAGCCCATTACCTAAGATAGACTTCCCACATTTTGATGGTACTGGGTCGAGAGCTTGGATATTGAAGTGCAATGGTTATTTCAAGATCATTCCTAATATTCCAGATAATCAGAAAATAACCCTTGCATCCATGCACTTTGAGGGCAAGGCAGCTCAGTGGTTTCAAAGTTTTAATAGCAGGTGTGTTGACATTACTTGGGCACAATTTATTGAAATCATTTCAGCAAGATTTGAGGAGCTGAAAGCATCCAAGATCATAGGGGAATTCAACAAATTACGGCACACAGGTTCTTACTTGGATTATGTAGAGAAGTTTGAAGAGTTAAGGGCTTGTATGCTATGCATGAACCAGGGTTACACAGAGGATTATTTCATAGCTAGTTTTATCAGTGGTCTGTCTGAAGAGTTGCAGTCATTTATAAACATGTTTGAACCACAAACATTACAACAAACCATAGAACTTGGAAAGAAACAACTCATTACCCTAGAAGCTATCTCAAAAAAGCTCAAACACCCCACCAAAACATTTCCAAACACTTACCAACCACCAAAAAGGTTGGAGTCTCTCACCCCCAATCCCAGCAAGTTCACCCCTAACTTCAAAAACCCTGTCAAACTTCTCACAGCTTCAGAAATGGCAGCAAGAAGGGAAAAGGGCCTATGCTATAATTGTGATGAACAGTTCACATATGGGCACAGGTGTAAACATAGACTGAATTATATGACCATGACAGAAGAGGAGGAAATCAACTACCTAAATTCCTCATCACTCATGGAAGGTGAGGCAGACCACTCAGAACCCATTGAAGAAGTACAGATGTCACTAAATTCTATATCAGGTGAGGATGGACTAACCACTATGAGGGTGTTTGGTAATACCAAGGGGCACAAACTCCACATACTCATCGATTCAGGTAGTACTCTCAGCTTCATTCAAGCTAGTACAGCTAAATCATTGGGGCTTAATCTATCATCAGTTAAACCTTTGAGGGTTAAAGTGGCCAATGGACAGAACATGATTAGCTCATTCATTGCTGAGGGGTTTCAGTGGATTATGCAAGGGCAGACCTTCAGTTATTCCTTAAGGGTCTTGGATAATGTTGGGTGTGATGTAATTCTAGGAGGTGACTGGCTAAAAAGTTGCACCCCCATTGAGCTAGATTATGAAAAGATGAGTTTCACAGTCACACTACATGGGAAGAGAGTGAAGGTCCAGGCCCTGAGATCAGAAGCTATTTGCAAATTCATCTCAGGCCCTTCTCTGTATAAACTCATGCATGAAGAAAGTGGGGAAACCATTGAAGAAGTATTTTGGGTATCTTTTACAAAACCTGATCAACTTAGTGAGAAAGGTGAACTTGAGGTTATTTTGCAGAAATATGAGGATGTTTTTCAAGAACCCAAGGGTTTACCACCTAGCAGAGGTATTGAACATCAAATTACCCTCAAACCTGACAGCTCACCTAAACATCAATTCCCTTACAGGACTTCTCACAATCAAAAAGGAGAGATAGAAAAGATAGTTAATGAAATGCTGGAATCTGGGATTATACAGGACAGTAGAAGTCCATTTGCTTCACCAGTGATTTTAGTGAAGAAAAAGGATGCTACATGGAGATTGTGTGTGGACTATAGATACCTTAATGGGTTGACTGTGAAACATGACTATCCAATTCCAGTCATAGATGAACTCTTGGATGAACTACAAGGTGCCACTTACTTTTCTAAGATTGACCTGAGGTCAGGTTATTTTCAAATTTTGATGAATCAGGAGCATAGGCATCTAACTGCCTTCAGAACTCACAGTGGTCATTATGAATTTTTGGTCATGCCTTTTGGGCTTTGCAATGCCCCAGCCACCTTTCAGTCATTGATGAATAGGATTTTCAGGCATTTATTAAGAAAGACTGTGCTAGTCTTTTTTGATGATATACTTATCTATAGCAAGGGATGGAAAGAGCATTTACAGCATCTAGAAGAGGTGTTAACTATACTCAAACAGCACCAACTCTATGCTAAGAAAAGCAAATGTCATTTTGGGCAGACTCAAATTGAGTACTTGGGCCATATCATATCCTCTCAAGGGGTTTCAACTGACCCACAAAAGATTGAAGGCATGGTGAAGTGGCCAACCCCTACCAATCTTAAGCAGCTAAGAGGTTTTCTAGGACTCACAGGCTATTACAGAAAATTCATCAAGGGATATGGGATGATTAGCAGGCCACTAACTGATCTACTAAAGAAAGACCAGTTTAAGTGGGGAGAAGAACCTGAAATAGCTTTTCAAAGACTAAAGGATGCAATGGTAAAGGCACCTGTACTGGCTCTACCTGATTACACTCAGCCTTTTGTGTTAGAAACAGATGCCAGTGGGAAAGGGGTAGGGGCTGTACTCATGCAGCAAGGAAAACCAATTGCATACATGAGTAAGATGTTGTGCCCTAAAAATCAAGCTCTCTCAGTCTATGAAAGAGAGTTTTTGGCTGTTCTCATGGCAGTTCAGAGGTGGAGGTATTATTTACAGGGGCACAAATTTTTCATTAAAACTGACCAACAGGCACTCAAGTACCTGTTAGATCAGAAGGTGGTATCCCCTGTCCAACAAAAATGGATAACTAAGCTTCTGGGCCTGGACTATGAAATTATGTACAAAAAAGGGACAGAGAACAAGGCTGCAGATGCTTTATCAAGGAGAGGGGAGGATAATCCAGTGTGTATGGCTGTTTCCAATCTTGTTCCATTGTGGGTACAAGAGGTGCAAGAGAGCTACAAACAAGACTCATTTTTCTCAAAAATCCTAACAGCCAACACTATTAACAAGGATTCTTATCCTAATTTTACTATTCAGAGTGGGATCATCAGATACAAAGGCAGACTTGGCATTGGAAATAGAAAAGATCTTAGGGACACCATACTCTCTACTATGCACAGCTCTTCATATGGTGGACATTCTGGCATTTTTGGTACCTATATGAGACTGAAAGGGGTTTTCTACTGGCCTAACATGAAAGCAGATGTCACTAAGTTGGTGCAGAGCTGTGATGTGTGCAAAATCAGTAAAGCTAACACCAACCCTTACTCAGGGTTGCTACAACCCTTGCCAATTCCAAACCAGGCATGGACTCACATTGCCATGGATTTCATTGAGGGACTTCCTAAATCTGGGGGGAAGGATGTAATATTGGTGATTATTGACAGGTTCACCAAATATGCCCATTTTACACCCTTAACACACCCATTCACTGCTCCTACAATTGCAAAAATCTTCTTAGACACCATCTATAAACTACATGGCCTACCAGTTACCATAGTGTCAGACAGGGATAAAATATTCACTAGCACTTTTTGGAAGGAATTGTTCAAATTGCTAGGGGTCAAATTGTCTCTCTCTTCTGCTTACCATCCACAGACAGATGGGCAGTCAGAAAGACTCAACCAATGCCTCGAAAATTATCTGAGGAGTATGGTCTACTCAAACCCTAGACAGTGGATTAAGTGGCTATCTTTGGCTGAATATTGGTACAACACCAATCATCATACCAGCCTCAAGACCACTCCTTTCCAGGCACTTTATGGCTACACACCTCCTAATTTCTCAATGGGACCCTATTTGGACACTATGAGTACAGAAGCCCAAGACCTCATACAAAAAAGACAAGCAATGACCCATCAACTCAGAGAAAACCTCATTCAAGCACAGGCAAGGATGAAACTGTTTGCAGACAAGAAGAGAGAAGAGAAACAATTTCACGTAGGTGAACAGGTGTTCCTAAAACTCAAACCTTTCAGGCAAAATTCAGTGGTTCTCAGGACAAATGTCAAACTCTCAGCAAGGTATTATGGACCTTTCACTATACTTGAGAAGATAGGCGAAGTTGCTTACCGATTGGAGTTACCTGATGGAGCACGCGTTCACCCAGTCTTTCATGTTTCCCTGTTGAAGCGTCGTGTTCCACCTGCGGCCGGAGTTTCCTCCAAAATTCCTGAAATACCAGACGAAGTTGATGAAGAGATCATACCCTTGGTGCAAAATGCAAACAAAATGGTTCTGAGGGGTGGAAAAGAAATTACCCGATTGTTGGGGTTGAAAGATCTTCCGGTGACAGAGATTATCACCGCAAAGCCCGAGTCTTTCATCGAACTAGGTGTCCAAATTCCCGATCCTTGTGGGCAAGGATCTCAAATTGAAGGGGGTATTGTCATGGACACAAGCTCGAAGAACAAAAAGAAAGAAGAAAAAAGAGGACTTTCTGATAAAAATGGTTTCTTGCAGAATGGCGAGGAGAAGAGGATTTGGGTTTCCGGTGAGATTGCGGAGGATACTGACAAAAGGAAGATGAAGGGTTGACTAAAGGATAAGGGGTTTAGTTATGTTGGGCCGGTTTATTTTATTATTATGTTATTAAGAAATTAGCTCACTAGTATTATTGGGCTATTTATGTATTTACTTGGCCCAGTTATCCATTTGTGGGACCAAGCTAGTAGTATAAGTGTGTAACAAACCGTATGGAAAGGCAAGCAACAAATATTCAGTTACTCTCTCCCTCATTGTCTTCTCTCTCTCTCTCTCAATTCCTATCTACATCTTTCTCTGCTAAGTTCACCATCTTCATCTTAATTCTAATAAGAAAAATAACAAAAATACAATTAGATCTAAAAATTGGTTACACCCAGGTTGTAACACAAATCGACCGAAAAAATCGGTCAGACGGCGCCTAGACGCTCCTAAGCGGACTCAGAGGTAATTTTTTAGTTTTTTTTTAAATACTAATAACATTGTTTTGTTCTCATGTTTTTTTTTGAGAATATATTAATATTATTATTTGAACTTAATGTGTGGATTTATTATAAGTTGAGATAGTTTTATTTTGTAAATAATTAAAATAAATAAAAAATAAGACATTAATATTGATTTTTAGGCCCCGACTAAACGCTCTAGGCGTTAAGCGCTGATCGAGCGCTAGAGCCTAACGACTTATAACCAATCTTACCTTCATGATCCTCGTTATACTATTATTTTATGTCGCCTAGTGTGAGGGAGTAGAAGGAGCGTCACGGTTTTCGGTAATATTACCAACAAGGCGAGGGTAAACTCGAGATTAGTTCACCACACGCATTATGGGAGCAATTTCCTGTTTTTTTTAAATAAAAAAAGGAAAAATCAACAATAAAGAAGCAGTATAGTATTTTAATTAATTAATTGTTTGTGGGAATGGTGGAAAGGAAGTCCATGTAAGTAAGGTACAGGTGAGGACAGCTTTGTAGAGCCACTCTTCCCTTCCGTTTCCCCCTCTCCCTAACATATATTATCATTAGTTGTCTCATTTTTGAGTAATTAATTTGTTTCATCAAAATATCTTTGTTATTTTCTTTCTCGTCACGCCAATTTACAGAGAAGAACCTGATACACACACCATTTCATGTATGAGACTGCTACTGCCTATTTTTTTCTTCTCAGTAGTAATTATTGATTTTCTCTCTCTTATCCCTCCCTTTTCGTTGTTGTTATTTTTT